CTTAAACAGCCATCATTGAGTAACTGGGAAAGGAACAGGCTCACACAATGAAGGATGACTGATTTACAACCAAGGCCCAGTATGTGAAAATTCACTGGTGAGAAACTATGGTGGTCCCTCCACATTTGCTGGGGTTAGCAGTGAAGGACCCTCATGAATGTGGAAAAATTGCAAATAAAAAACCCCACTATTCTTTTCATCTAAAACAACACTTCTCCTAGAAATCTTGATGGCCTTCAGGGCAGCACTGATCAACATCTGCCAGAAGTTAATAATAAAATCATGCTGGAGGACCTACAAATGCCTAGAGAAGTATTACCTCTAGGAACTTCTAGGTTCTCCAGCACAACTCTATAGTCAACTTCTGGCAGAGTTGCAATGGAGGACTAGAAATTCCTAAAGGGAATATATTAATCAAAATGGCAAATAATCAGATCCACAAAAGTCAAAGCTGCAACTGTGGAGGACCCAGTGTACTGACAATCCACAGCACAGAATATGGCTAAAGAGACTTCTCAACTATTGTGGCAAAACCTTGGCATAATTCCCTGCTCCTGTATATGTTTTTAAGGAGTAATATGAACCCATTAACACAAGAGCCAATGTGGTGTAGTGGTTTGAGTACTGGACTGAGATCTGGAGACCAGATTTCAACTCCCCACTGGAAGTGGCAAGCTGCCAGGCAGTGCCCTTAGGTAAGTCACACACTCCCTGCTTCACAAAGAAACAAAGGCAACCCCCCTGACTAAATCTCACCAAGAAAACCAGGTGATAGGGCCGCCTCTGGATCACCACAAGTTGGTAACAACTTAAGGCACACAACAACAACTAACCATTATGAATGACTGATTAGAAGCCAGAAGGGTTGGAGCTAATACACCTCACTTTTTCAGGCTTAACAAAATCTGCATGATTCTCACAGAATTATAAAAACTGGAAGAGACCTCAAGGGTCATCCAGTCCAACCCTCTGCCATGTAGGAATATACAATCAAAGCACCCCAACAATGGCCATCCAGCCTTTGTTTAAAAACCTCCTAAGAAGGAGACTCCACCACCCTCCAAGAGAGTGTGTTCCACTGTCCAACAGCTCTTACTCTCAAGGAAGTTCCTCCTAATGTTGAGGAGGAATCTCTTTTCCTGTAGCTTGCGTTCGTTGCTCTGTGTCTCTGGAGCAGCAGAAAACAAGCTTGCTCCATCTACAATATGACATCCCTTCAAATATTTAAACAGGGCTATCATATCACCTCGTAACAGTCTTTTCTACAGACTAAACATACCCAGCTCCCTAAGGGGGGTTGCAGACTGCCAGAAATAGTGCAAATTGAGTCCACTTTTAGGGTTAGGGTTAGTGCTAGGGAATCATGGGAATTGCTTTTTTTCTGAGACATTGAGCCTTCTCTGTCAGAGAGCTCTGGTGCCACAATAAAATACAGTTCCCATGATTCCCTAACCCTAAAAGTGGATTCAATTTGCACTATTTCTGGCAGTCTGCAACCCCCCTAAGTTGCTCCTCATAGGCCTTGGTAGTTGCCAGACCTTTCATCATTTTAGTCACCCTCCTCTGGACATGCTCAACACATATCTACTAAGAAATTACAACTGCAAGGTATGTATATTTCAGACACCACAGTTTCATCCATTTCTGAGGGCTACCCTTAAACTCATGAAGAATGCAGCAGCTGTTGTTGTTGTTATTACAGTGCGCCCTTTGTATATGCAGGGGATCTGTTCCAGACCCCCCCTCACATAAGGGATAAAATGCGGGACCCCAGGTCCTGTTGTTTTCTATGGCGGCACACTCCTGTGCACTGCACATGCACCATGGACGCCATTAAAAGTGCTAGGGCTCACTGTTCGCGTGACCTTGAATCTGCATATGGTGCACCCATGTATGTTTATGTGTATTATTAACAACAACAACATTCTTCATGAGTTTAAGAACACTCATCAAGGCTAAACAAATAAGCATTGGTTTCATGTTGGCCAAGCCTGAAATAAAGCAGCAGATTGTTCCCTTCTACTACTCTGCCATCAAATTCTTGGTCTCCATGATGCACATCAATTTCCCTGGAAGTTAATTCATATCACAGCGCTCTAAAATGAAGCCACTAAACTTAAAGCTATTGTTGCAGATTATAAGTGTCTTTAGAACCACAGCCTTGGAAAAATGTAGGCTGACCTTGAAGGGTACTTAAAATAAGGATGAAAATCCACCTTGCTGGTCATGAATAGCAGGAATCTTCTGACTACCTCAGGTAAGGACATGAAACTGGGACACATAGCAGGCAGGCACAGTAGTTGTTTTATCTGGCAGGTAAAAGACAGTACACCTCAGTCTTCTCTTGACCTAGCCCCCAAAGATCTTAACACAAAGCAATACACATCACACTACAGGAAGATTGATTCAATCAAAGAAACTGTGGCCTTGCATTTACAAGACCTGAGCAGGGCAGTGGATGACTGGGGCTCTCAGAGGTATAGATGCAGACAAACTACCACCACCATCTGCAAGGAAGGAGGACCAAGAGAGTTTTGGCAAGGAAGACCCAAGCAAATCCATGGGGACCCAGCAAATCCAAGGCAGCCTTACATGTAGATTTAAAATTCTATTCAGCCTTATCCAGCTTGAAGCTGTAGTTCCCAAGCAGCAAAGGGATCAGCAGTTCTAGCAAGTGATCTGCTCCTACCAATTGTGCCTCAGTGCTGGGCTCAAGTTCCTTCCAGCCTTGCTACTGAAGAAGACTACAAGTCCCAGGAGCTAGTGTTGCAGACCAAATGTCTCTTTCCAGCAATCTCAGCTTCTAAGATATCATATTCCCAGATGCTCACCTGTCAGTTCATGCATTCTTGATTCAGTAAGCAACTGAGAAAAGGGGGTTAGCTAAGTGTCAACCCAGAGACTCCCAGTTTAACATCCATTTGCCCTGAATGCTGACTACAACCTGTTATTCTATTGCTATTATTCACAACACTCCAAGACCTTACAACACCATTCTGTTCTCACCACAGCTTTAAAATCTTATGTTTTTTGTTACCTGGGTACCAGAAGTGGGTAAAGCATGGCCCTTTAGATGTATTATTATTATTATTATTATTATTATTATTATTATTTGGACTGTAGCTCCCAGAAGCACTATACAGCATACCCAATGGTAGGGCATCATGCTGGGAGTTGCACTGCAACATCATCTGGAGGGCTGCCGTTTACCATTGTTGACTTAAATTGAGACTACTGTACAGTGCAAAGGCTTACAACATATTTTACAGTTGCAGATGATATACGTAGAGGGACTGATACTGCGGGCCACATGTACAAACGCAAATACTGATTATGGCTGGGAAGAAATCTGTGCTTCTCTTGGTCTGCAGAAGGGATTATGTGGCGATGTTACGTGCCTCGAGACATGACCTTATAGGAACTTATAGGACACTGCAGCCTAACATAATCTAGCTTCTAGGTCAATGGTGGAAAGAAAATGGCTAGCATAGCCACCTGTTTTGCCCACACAACCTTTAGAAAGACTCGCAAAGCAGGTCTCCTCAATTGTTATGAACATGACACCCTGGGATGATTATTCTCTTTTCCACATTGTGCCTGTGATAGTCTACATACGGCAATTTATGTGGCTGTACAACAAAGGGAAGGGACAATCACGAGTGTATACTCTGCTGCAACCTCTCTCTCAATTACTAATAAGTTAATAATAAGTTCTGGGTTTACACGACTTTCCTTTCCAGCTCCAGAGTTTGAGCACAATTCAACACACCACATTTTAGAGTTGCATCCCACAAATACTGCAGACCAACCCCCAGGTGGCTGTAATACCCTAAACTTTAAGCAGGACACATCTGTAGACTCCAGTTACCCCACACCATCGACAGTAACCCAACTATTTTCCCCAACTCACTGCTCCAGCCTCAGCCTATTCGAAAGGTTCCTACAAGGAGATCCTGCAACCCTGGCAATTTTCAGACTTTTAGGCTAACGCTGCATAAGAATGAGGCTTCACATGTTTCACATAATTCCAGTTGCCAAACTATTAATGCTAGCTTATTTCTAGAGGTGGACTTTATAGAGAGGCAGCAGTAAAATCACTGCAGGCAGACTTGGATTTGAAAACAACGCAACAAAACCCACCCACATCAGGAGACAAGTGCATCCTCTTTATGGCCATGTGCACCAGGCTTAGAGTACCAAGCAGCCAGGGAATCAGGTAGTTTGGTGGTTATTAAATGCACTGTGCTACCATTTTACTGTGGTTGAATTGTTATTAGGACCACCATGATGTAGTGGTTTGAATGTTGGACTATGGCTATGGAGGCCAGGGTCTGACTCCCCACTCAGTGACGGAAGTGAACTGGATGACCTTGGGCAAGTCACACACTCTCAGCCTCAGGAAACCCCATGATAAGTTCACCCTAGGATTGTCTTAAGTTGGAAATGACGCGAAGACAAACAACAGCAGATTTGTAATATACATTTGCTATTTATGAAAGAAAGAGTCAGACAGTAGAAAAATAGAAGAATCAGAGTAGATTTGGCATACCATGGCCTTTATAGACTGCTAGAAATAATGCAGCTTGAGTCCACTTTGACTGCCCTGGGTCAGTGCTAGGGAACCATGGGACCTGTAGTTTATTGTGGCACCAGAGCTCTCTGACAGAGGCGGCTAAATGTATCAGAAAAAACTACAATTCCCATGATTCCCTAGCACTGAGCCAGGGCAGTTAAAGTGGACTCAAGCTGGTTTATTTGTGGCAGTCTGTAAAAGCCCCATGACTGTTTGCAATCTCATAGTTGAGAAAGACAGTGAAGGCTCGCCACATATGGTTGTGGTTGTCGTTCTGTGCCTTCAAGTCATTTCTGACTTGTGGTTATCCTAAGGCAAACCTATCATGGGTTTCCTTGGCAAAATTTGTTCAGAGGGGGTTTGCCATTGCCTTCCCCTGAGGCCGAGAACATGCGACCACATGCCCAAGGTCACCAAATGGGTTTCATGGCCAAACTGGGAGTCAAACCCTGGTCTCCAGAATCACAGTCCAGTGCTCAAATCACTATGCCACACTGCCACATATGGACTTTTCCAATAAAAACTGTTAGAACACAGTCTGTGGCATGTCTGCAAAAGCTGACAGTTTTGGTCATAGATAACTTTAACCATCTTTGTTGCCTGCTCTTTCTACAAGACCTTTAGGGCACTGTACTGCTTTGTATGAATGAAAGGACTCAAACAGTTCTACATCCTTCCAGGCAAAACTATACAACAGATATATAACGAGGACCTCCTGCAAGATGGGGACAAACTAAAAAATAACACTACAGGAAAGCTTCATGGCAGAACAGAGACTGATGTACATTTTTCTACTCTTGAGTTGGGATCGCCCACAACACTGCTTGCCCCCCTTACTGCAATCCATAGTCCCCAAAGTTTATGACTCCAGCTGTCTATAATTCAGGTCTCCTTAAGATCCAGAGCAGTGCAAGCAGCAACTTCTTAGCTTTGCCACTGTTCACTAGTACTACTATGAACAAAGCCTTGGAAAGCCTACCTGTGAATTGTTTTGTATCCCTTCCATTTGTGTTTGCCAATTTTTCTTTTAAAGTACATATCGACCTCATAACATTCATGTTCTCCACCGTTTGGCAGCTCCCCCCCATTCTGTACATTGATTTACAGTACTGCCAATACAAGAGCATCTAGGAAAAAGTACTGCCTTTTACACAAAACTGCCTTCTACACATTAATTGCTTGTAGCATTTTAATGAGAAGAGAAGACTTGCAATACAAGAAGTTTAGCCTGTACCTGACCAACACCCTACAAAAGAAGTTGTGAGAAGTTAACACAGCCCCAACTCCTTTAAATCTGGCTGTCTTCATGTTACTAGGATACCCAGCAATAAGTGTTCACACAGGCACAGCCTCCCACCGAATAAACAGCCAGAGCCACTGTACAATGGATGCTAAAAGACATCTGCTACAGCTACTGCTTTCAGTAGGTAGGATAGTGATGGGCTAATAGATACTCATCTAAAGATACCCACTTCCATTCATTTCTAAAGTGTTATCATTTATATGTGCCAGACAAAAACTCTTCATGGATACGGTTTCTATTCCAATTAACGTAGAGAATGTGTGGCTCTCTTGATATTGCTGGACTATAGCTCTCCAGCCTAGAATTAAGGAATATGTAAATCCCTGCTGTAAATTAGGTCTGGTGATTCCAACAGTGTGATATTGATCAGAGCAGGGACTGCAGTCAAGAAATCATGAGAAGACTAAGAATGGGAAGGGCAGCTATTAAAGAACGAGAGAATATCCGAAAAAGTAAAGATATACAGCTGAACACAAGAGTTAGAATTGTACAAGCCATTGTATCCTCTATTACCATATATTAATGCCAAGAGCTGGACAGTTAAGAAAGTGGACTGAAAGAAAATAAATTCACTCAAGATGTGGTTCTGGAGAAGAGTGCTGAGGACCCCATGAATAGCCAAAAAGACCAACAAATGGGTCTTTGAACAGATCAAGCCAGGGGTAGGCAACCTTTCCCCTTTAAGGGCCGAGGGACTTCAGTTCCCAGAAGCCTCAGCCATGTTGGCCAATAGTCCCATGCTGGTCAATAGCTCCTGGGATTCTGGGAGCTGAAGTCCCTCGGCCCTTAAAGGGGAAAGGTTGCCTACCCCTGGATCAAGCCATATATCTCTCTAGAAGCCAGGATGACTAAACTGAGGCTGTCGTACTTTGGCCACATCATGAGAAGGCACAACTCACTGGAAAAAAAAAACAATGCAAGGGAAGGTGGAGGAAAATAGAAAGAGAGGAAGGCTGCATGCTAGATGGATGGATTCTATTATGGAGGTCATGGGTATGAGTTTGCAGGACCTAAGCAGAGCAGTGGTGGACAGGGAGTCTTGGCAATGTCTCATCTATAGGATTGCCAAAGGTCAAGATCAACTCAAGGGTAGTTAACAACAACAACGTGTTTGCTGCAGTCCATATATGCAGCACCATCCGCTAACTTCCTGGAAACATCCATCTGACTGCTATGGTTTTGAGTTATAAAATCCCATGTGGCTTGGAACCAGACATATCCAAGTTAATAAAGATTTACTCAGCCCTTCTTTCCTTCTCATCCTGTCTAGCTGGAAGATTTTTTTTTTTTTTAGCAGCATCAGCATTCAGAGAATAGTGAAGGAGGGTTAGAGAAACACTATCCTTTGATATTGTGTTGCAGCAGCATGTCTGCAGCAAACAATGCAATAAATCTTGAACTGGGAAAGAATGGCATTTTACTCTATCTGATCCTACTCTGGAGGTTTTTAAACAGAGTCTGGATGGCCATCTGTCAGGAGTGCTTTGATTGTGTATTTCCTCACTGCAGGAAGTTGGAATAGATGACCCTTGTGGTCTTTTTTCCAACTCAATGACTCTATACTGTAGCTGTGTGTGCCTGCCTATAACAGGCAAGCTAAACAGCAGCATTTCCAGAATTCCTAATTGAGAATGCATGAACAGCAGAACTGATAGAAAAAAAGAGAAAGCAGATAATCCTGTCTCAAAAACTACCCCCAGCATTAAAAAACCCTCTAACTTTAGCCACCAAAATAGAAATCAGAAAAAATGGGTTTTTTCTATTATTAGTAAAAGGAAAAAAATCCCTTGATGCACTTTGGAAAAATAATCCCTGGATGCACTTTGAAAAAAGAGGAAGGTTTCTAGAAGATTCAAAATGTTTTTGTTTACTTATGTAAAGCTTACATGCCCTGGCTATTTCATTTCACATGTGCACATTATTAGTTTTAAATAAAAAGTTTGTTGAAAAATGCGGGGTTGTTTTGTGGCGTGGGAACCTATTCCTATCCTTGTCATGTTATTTCTGCCTCTGGTACCAATTTTTCTATTAAAGAAGTAATGCCCAGGAACACATCTATTTCATTAACTGAAGTATACCGATATTTCAAAGACAGAATCCTCCCAGGAGAGAATTGAGTTTGTCTTGGGAGATGACTTTCTTTCTGTCCCATCACTTTCAAAAACACAGGCAGTGGAAACATGACAGAGGCCATGGTGGCATTTCTGTTAGCCTGAGAGTAGACAAAGACATCTATAGTTAGGCAGGCTTTTAGTGTCAAAAACTTCAGCAAAGAAAAGATAAAAATAAAAATATCGTTAACCTGGTAGGTACTGTCTTTTGCAAAAACCTTTTTTGTGTATTTACTTTGTGCACTTTAATGTTTAACTACAGCTTAGCTATTTTGTTAGCCATAGTGATCACTATTTATTAGTGGAAAATTGAGATGCACATTTAAACAAACCATCAGAATGTTGGACTAAATGTATCAGGAGATGTTTGGAATAATATTATTATGTTTGTATGGAAAGGGATCTTGTCGCACCTTTGAGAGAAAAGTTGGTAGAATGTGCTTTCATAGACTTGAGCCTATTTCCTCAGATGCATGTTTGGTATGTTAAGTGTATAGTTTACTCAGTAAATAACTGCAAATTATTCTTTTTAATTTTTATATTTCTTACAGAATTATGAGAACTGGAACAGACCTCAAGGTCCATCCAATCCATGTAAGAAACACATGAACCTTAAGGAACCTCTTTGGCTTTTGCCAGTTTATGAGAATCAAGCGAAAAAATCAGTGAGGGCAGAAGAAACCATCAAGAGTAAATTAGGTTGGTTTTTCTAGTCCCCCATAGTGTTAAGCAAACACAAAGTGATAATTCCCATAAAAAAAGAAACTGAGAAAAGGCAGCCAAGACCAGAAATTATAAAGTGAGATATTATACAGTACATAGTCTTACACAGAAGTTTACCTGGTATACAGCTTTTATTAATAATGTGGGTGGAGTAAACATATGAACATCTTGTTGTAAGTAGTTTAGTCATCATTTATAATGGAAATACAGTTGCTCCTCTGTTTTCGCAGACTTGAAGTCCGCATCCCTTACCCGTTTGTGGGCGGCAAACGGAGGGGGACAAAATGCGGGGGCGTGCTGCCATTCAAGATTATGCGGCTTGAATATTTGTGGTTTTCCGTTTTCGTGTGTGTGTGTCAGGAACAGATCCCCTGCGAAAACGGAGAGGCGACTGTATTCCATAATCTTTTCCCCCTCAGCTTTTTTCCATGAACAAGTCTTTGGAAAAGAATGGGGAAAACCTCTTCTCCTAACTTTTCCCAGTTTTTAACCCCCCCCCCCCAAACAGGCAAATGAACTAGCCTGATCTACCCAAAACTCTTAATTTCAGCAGGCCCAACAAGGCTTCAACTTCCCTGTCAAAACATTGAACTGTTGTGTCTTCCTACGTTACTTCAGCCTGTTTAAAATAGCATTTCAAGGATGTGCCCAGGTGGCAGATAAACAGGCTTCCTACCTGCCACCACTTTTTGACAATGCCACACATTCTATCAGAGTTTCTTGCTAGAATCAGATCTAGAAAAAATTATTTTTAAAGACAGCCAAAGCAAAATTCTACATAAAACAGGCATTCACAGATGCATCAGACGACCCATAGCTCTGATTTCTAGATGGGAGAGTATTAACAGCAACCCCAAACCAACTTACATATTATTCAGCTGGCCATACAGGGTCATCAAACCTTGGGTGGCAATGTTAAGAGCAAAAAGCAATTTTTCTGAGAAAAGTAGTTCGATGCTGCAACATATCCGTTAACAGCCTTCCAAAACATGGTGGAGGAAATTTGCTCATGACACCACTACACTACAGTTGGCCCTCCACATTTGTGGCTTTGACTTTTGTGGCTTTGATTATTTACTGTTTTGATTAATATGCTCTTCTCTAGGAATCGCTTAAGTCTTCCAGCACAACTCTGCTGGAAGTTCACTACAGAGTTGTGCAGGAGGATCTGGAGATTCCTAGAGAGGTGTTCTCTTAGTAAAAATAATAGTGTTTTTTAATTTGTATTTTTCCACATTCACGGGGGTCCTTCACCCCTAACCCCAAGTGAATATGCAGGGACCACTGTACAATCTTTACAGGGGTGGCAATCATATGGTCCGTCCAAATCCCAGCAACCTCTGTCAGCATAGTCAATGCTGA